TTCAACAGTGTTTATATATCTTTATAAGACAAGATTTCAAACCATTCCCTTGGAAAATTTACGAAAATGTTTATCACTGGTATAGATTCGTGAATGTTCGAATATACAATACCGCAACTTCAAAACTCTGTTACGTTTCCACGGTGCTAAAACAACAACAATTTTTACTAAAATACCGAACTATTTTTTTTCCCGTATTGTGTTATAAAATACATTGTGCTAATCTGTCTGTAATCATGGCTTCAAAGTATTTTAAAGGGCATGATGACCACTACAATGGCGTAACTATTGATTCAAACGAAGAATTCTGCACACCTGAAGAATTCGCTCATCGTCTTACAAGTGTGTAATATAATATTTTTTAAAAAAGATTAATTAATTATTATTTATTTTTCCAAAATTTAGAAGTTTATATTTTGGTTAAAATTTATATAAAAATGTTTGTTGTCAAAAATATTACTTATTTATTGTTTGTATTATATATGCAACTGTTATAGCATCTTTACAACAGTGGATCCAAATTAAGAAGCGTACAATATGGTTTCGTGTATATTTAGCACATTCAGAATGGGTACCAATACTTGTGAAAGAAGGATTTAAATTTCACCATGCTAGGCAAGAATATGTTATGCTTTATCGATGGTTAGTCACAGGTGAAGAATCCAATGTTCCACATTATGCACATACAAATTTAGGTGTTGGAGGATTGGTTTATAATGAAGAGACCAAAGAAGTTTTAGTGATCAAGGAAAAATATTCAAGTAAAACAGCATTATGGAAACTGCCAGGTGGCTATGTGGAACCAGGTATATCATCTTATTATTATATACTAATAAATTAATAATGAATTAACAAAGTACAGCTAATAATTTTTCTATTATTATAAAAGCACTAATAAATATATAATAATATATATAACTTTTGTTTATAAATCTTTTTCTTATTGTAGGAGAAAATTTAGAAGAAGCTGTTAAAAGAGAAATTTTAGAAGAAACTGGTGTTCAGACCACTTTTAAATGTATAATAGGTTTCAGACATGTGCATGATTATGCATTTGGTTGTTCTGACATATATATAATTGCTTATTTATCTCCTTTAAACTACAATATTAAAAAATGTGAGAAAGAAATTTCTGAATGCAAATGGATGAAGGTAATATTCATTATACATCATGAACTTTCTACTATCATTACCAATTATTATTTCAATAGGTGCATGATTATTTGGAGCATCCAGAAGTACATGAAAATAACAAACTGATCATAAAGAAAATGTTAGAATTTTTTAAACACAGAATGGGGGTTACTGTGGAATATGCATTCCATCCTGTATTACAAAAACCAATTTGTGTATATAGCATATCTAAAATTAATAATGCATAACAATACTTAAATTATTAAAATATGTATGCAATTAAACTAATTAATTTTATGATTTAAAGTACAAAT